AGGAAGCTGTTTATGAGGGTGGGGGAGAAGATGGATGACGCTGAATGTCTGGGTTGGGGTTTCCACATGGGTGCACACGATGCCTCAGGGTGCCCAGGGGAGCAAGGGCTGAAAGGGGCAGGTCAGCCACTGGGAACGGCCCTCCCCATGTGACCACATCTGGAGCAGAACTGCCAGCACTCTGAGAATACTACATCCAGCTCTGGCCTTCTGAGTTAGGAAGGTATGTTTGCCAAGACGGAAGGATTGAGTGCATTCTGTTTTACAGTCTAGTAGCTTGATTTGTACATTGAAATCTCAAGATATACGGTATGTAGGCCTCCATGTGTATTCTTGCCCAGGACCCTGCAAAGGTTACCGTCAGGCCTCTTCTCAATTACTCATTTTTTCCTGCTTTGAAATATTTCCATGCAACTGTCAGGGGGAAAATAAGCAAATAACTATGTGAACAGAGCTCCCTCCCTCCCAGCCCTCACTGCCCTGGCTCTCTCCTTCTAGACAATGATTGTTTAAATAATGAGGCACTCGGCAGATCATCCCCGAGGGCCTAATGCTCAAAATACAGTGACGAAGAAGAAACTGTGCCCAACTGTGCCTACAACCCACAGGCACTTACCACACCATGTCGGCCGATCTGCGCTGGAGGAAACGCGGCCCCACCGTTCAGAAAATGCACTGCACACGCTGCCGCGTCTTGCGGAGGCTGTGAGGTGGGGAGCTTGAGGGTCTTGACTGTAGCTTCAGGGTTTCTTCACATCGCCAGGGAGGCCTGCATGGACTGGGGCAGCCACGGTTTCCACAGTGAGCAGGGACGAATCACACTTGACACGAGTTACCAAGGGAAGGTGTGCAGTGTGCCTTCCATCCAGTAGCGTGATCCCAGGTATCCGCCTTGATTCCTGAGATTTTCGAGATGGTAACATTTGTGTATCAAACGACATGGGAGAGCTGAACAAGTATATCATTCATTTTTAATCATCAAGTCGTTAACAGGGAGCAAGACTCCGGCTGAGGCTGCTTAAGTGGCGGGCCCAGGGAGGCCATCAGCCATCCGGGGGAGGCTCCAGCAGCCCTCGCCAAAGGAAGCGTGGCACGGGAGAGGGACACCGGAGCCGCAGGTGCCCGCAAGGAGGCCGGACAGGGAGCACAGGAGACGTGTCACACCGCAGCGGAGGGGAGCGGCGCCCCGCAAGGTCTCAGGAATAGCCGGGGAGGGGACTCGGGGAAGGCCCTGCCTCAAGGCGCAGGCCAGCGGAACGTGGCTCGCCGGTGCTCATCGGTGTCCAGCAACAGGCACGCGAGCGCGGAGTCCCGCACGTGCAATGGCTGCCCAGCCCGCGCGGGGGTGGGGGTGGGGGTGGGGGCGCTGCCGAGGCGGGAGGCGGCCGCGGCCGAGGGTCGTCCCCAGCCCACGGCTTCCGCCCCCTCTGGCGGCCATCCTCCCACCTTCCGCTCACTGTCCCTGCCGTCACCCTCTGTCGGTGCTCTGCCACCCATCCTCCAGGACCCTGGCGACTGCCCACAGGGGGCTTATGCTCAGCCGGGAAGACCAGTCGAACGTCTCTCTTCCCGCGTATGTCCTTGTCTCCGCCCTCAGCGCCCGGCGTGGATCGCGCAGTCAACGCGTCCTAGACCGACGCTGAGAGGAACACCAAGTGATTTTAACCAGAACCGAGGGGTAGGGGAGGCTGAAAAAAAAAATCGCCTGTCAGCCAAGACAGGAAGGGTGGGTGGGAGTAAATGAGACAGAGGTGGGCCGCCGGGGGAGAAAATGGCTTCCAGGCCCGAGCAGGAGCGATCTGTGTCAAGGCCCTGAGGGAGGAGGGAGCCCCGTGGGCCTGTGGAAGGGACCGTAGTGAAAACTGAACTGGAGGGCGCCTGGGGGGCTCAGCTGGTTAGGCGTCTGCTTTCAGCTCGGGTCATGATCCCAGGGTCCTGGGATCGAGCCCCACATCGGGTTCCCTGCTCAGCGGGAAGCCTGCTTCTCCCTCTGACCCTCTCCCCTCTCATGCTGTTTCTCTCTCTCTCTCTCAAATAAATAAATAAATAAAATCTTAAAAAAAAAAAAAAGAAAACCGAACTGGAATGTGGAGAGCTGAGCAAGAGGCAAGGCTGGAGAGATGGATGGGCAGGTCTCCGAAGATCTTTGGAACCATGTTATGAACACTGAACTTCATTCTAGGAGACACGAGAAGCCACCAAAGGGGTTCAAGCAGAGGGCATGATCTAAATACGGATATCTGCGTTGTCAAAGAGGCCACCGGGCACCGCCAATGGTGACTGGGTTGGAGGGACTGGAGGTGGAAGCAGGGAGACAAGTAAGGTGATGTGGGAACCTGAGAGACAGAAGAAGGCTGCTGTGGGTTACGGCCTGGAGGTGGATGAAGGAGGGGAGGCAAGGTTGACTCCCAGATTGCTGGTTTGCACAACAGGTGTATAATGGTGGCATTTGCTGATAGGAAAGACAGAGGAGGAACACCTTTTAGAGGATCAGGGAGGATGATGAATTGTTTTTGCCATGCTGGGTGTGAGATCCTGTAAGCATCCTGAGTTTATATCTGGGCAGGGGATTTTATATCTGGGTATGCATCTTGGGAGGAAGACCCAAGTAACAGAAGCCAATCCGAAAGCGGTCTGCATTTGGATGGTACCTGAGGCTCAATGAGTTGGAGAAACAGCTGGGGAAAGTGCAGACTGAGGAGGGCAGAGAGACTTTGACCAAGCACTGAGAACTGTCAGTGTCTATGGAGCCAGCAGGGAGACCTTGGCTCATCATTAGAATCACCTGGGAAACTTTAGTAATAGGTATCTGCTGGGGGAATAGGACCATATAACCTGTATTTTTAAAAACCTGTAGTAGGACTAGAACCCACGTGGTAGAAGATGACGACTGTAAAAGGGGACAGGTGGTTAGGAGAGAGGAGAATAAAAGGATGGTGGCCTTCCAGATCCCAAGGGAAGGGTTTCAGGAAGAAGGGCTCAGACAAGATCAGGACTGAATTTACCAACCAGAAGCCAGATGGTGGTGCATCCACCTGCCTGACTCCTTAAAAGTAGGGAACTGGTGTTTGAACTCCACAAACATTGACAAGGGATTACAGGGAGAAGCCCAGCAGAGCTTCTGGGGCTCAAAGTTCTCAGAGAAGGGTGCAAAGGGTGGGGGCAGGGGAGGAAGAGGAGAGGGGGGTGCACTAGATGGCAGAAAGCTTTGCTCTGGAAGTAGCATTTGAATGGAGGCAAAAGAGCTAAGAAGTCCTAGGAGAGGAAATAATGAAAGTGGAAGTATGATGAGTTAAACCACCTCCAGTTTAGGAAATAGAGTTAGTCCCTGGCTGGAGCACAGGGGATTAAGCTGTTGGGAATGAAACAAGGGAAGGGCGTGTGTGTGTGTGTGTGTGTGTGTGCAGTGCCCAGTTATATGCCAAGGTAAAAATTCTTTGGATTTCAAGGTAAAGGGGCCTTGAAGAATACAAGAAAATAATAGCATGATTAGATTTGTGATTCAGATAGACCATTGTGGCAGCCAGTATAAAGGATGGTTTGGGGTCAGGGAGGATTAGGAAAAGATGGAAGCCCAAACTTCCATCAGGAAGTTGTTGCAAGGAATCCAGATAAAGGGGGATGGAATCATCAGAGTAGGAGTAAAGAAGTGAGCTGAGGGGGTGGGGTACTAGAGAGGGGTGCCTTGGGTCAACACCTACTTTCTGGCTTAGGTGACCGACTGGTTGGAGGTGTCAGTCACTGAGATAAAGAATAAGGAAGACTAGATTTAGATAAAGATAGGGTGGCTACTGGGGTGTGGGAGAGGACATTTCCACACTGGTAGGTCATTCCTTTCTCCAAAGGAGAAAAGATGTAACATTATTGCTAGTTTCCCTAACTCTTCTCTCTCACCTCTAAGTCTTTCTGCAGCCTGTTTCCTTCAAATCTCCAGATTCATATAGCTTCAACTAGTTACTGCAGGGGATTTGTTCATTTATGAATTACTTAAGAACAAAAAAATTGTTCCAAAGACTTGCCAGGTAGTATCACCCAGAAAAATGTAAATGAACAAAACATAACTGGCCTTTACCTCATAGAATTTACATTCTAGCAGGAGCCAAAAAAAAGACATTAACCAACTTATTACAATCCATGTAGTACGTGGCAAGTAAGGGGCGGGGGGAGAGGGTGTCCCATCGAAGTTCATAATTAGGTTTTAGCAGGTCTGTGAATTCCCTGAAATCCACATGTAAGATTTTTGTCTACACTTCCATACATTTGGTGGGGTCTGGGGCTCCTAAAAGGTAAAGTCCATTTGGACTCCCAGCCAATATACACAAACGTGTTCCGCAGGCCAAGGCAGAGACCACGGGGAAAGCCAGCACCTTGGCAGTCTGTTCAATCCACTCAGAACAACCCTAACTTTACTTAGACATTAAAAGTGATCCGTCTTTGGGCGTCTGGCTGGCTCAGTCATTAGGCATCTGCCTTAGGCTCGGGTCATGATCCCAGGATCCCGAGCTCGAGCCCCATATCGGGCTCTCTGCCCAGGCGGGAAGCCTGCTTCTCCCTCTCCCACTCCCCCTGCTTGTGCTCCTGCTCTAACTCTCTGTTAAATAAATAAATAAAATATTTAAAAAAAAAAAGTGATCAGTCTTCTGACTTAACGTTAGAAAAGACAACACGGTCATTAATTTTTAAAAGAATCCAGCGTTTGAAAAAAGATCACGAGAGGTTCTGTTCCTCAATCACGGCGAATTTCCTAGCACGTGCCCAGGTTCAGAGAGCCTGAGGAGCAGGACACCGCCTGGCTGACACCCTCCGGCCTCCACGGATTGGACTGCTCCGACCTCCGCCTTTTAGAGTTGGCCGAAGAAACCCGCGCACGCGCTGAGAGTCCAGGCCGGATTTTCGCGCCCGAAGGCGGAAGTAAGGGCGAGCCGGAAGTTCCTAAGCCTGCAACCGAGAAAGTGGGGGCGGGGGAGGAGGAAGACTCAAGGTAGGAATGGCGGCTCAAATTCCAATTGTGGCCACCACTTCCACTCCGGGGATAGCCCGGAACAGCAAGAAGAGGCCAGCCAGTCCTTCCCACAACAGCAGCACCGCTGGGGGCTACAGCGCTAGTAAGAAGAAAAAAGTGTCCTCCAGCTTTACGCAGGTATGCGGCGGCTTGTCTGGCCTGCGCGTGCGCGAGCCGTGCGGGGCGGAGCGAGGGCGCGTGCACAGGGCGGGGCAGGGCGGGGCAGGGCGGGGCAGGGCGGGGCAGGGCGGGGCATAGCGAAGGTGCCGGACCTTGAGGTCTCGGCTCCGGTGGGTGTGGGTCGCTGGGGCAAATGAAACATTTTTTCCGTAATGTGGACAAGTGGGCTTTGGTTTAAGCACCATCCGCGTCGCATTGTCCTTGAGAGCAGGCGAGGTGGGGATGTTATTACTGACCTAGTGGAATGATCGTCCCTTCCCGTCGCGTTTAGGTTGAGGCGCAGGACTTTTCTGTGAGTTTCAGTCAAGCACAAAATCGCGTGTCTCACCTTGGTCCTTTCTACAGATGTGTACTGAGTGTCCGTGAGGTGCAGGGCGCCCTAATGTGCTAAATGGAGGAATACCAAGAGGTTCTGATACTGATGGCTTCCCTCATTCTCAGAAACGTACTTTGTTGACACTCAGTGTCCCGTCCCAAAGTGGTTTGGTCTTACTCCATGGAGTTGGTAAAAAGATTCCCTGAGATCATGGTCGGAAAGCCCTGAGCACAGTGCCTGGCACAGACCTCATGGCTCTGGGTAATCTAGGCTCCACGATAACAACAAAGATTTTCTGGAGAGAAGTGGTTTGGTTAGGTTATTGTTTTTTTCAGCTCCTGCATTTTATTTCAAGCAATAAAAGAAAGCACTGTCCAGGCACTGTTCTAAGCACTTTCTAAGTACTATCTCATTTAATTTTTTTTTTTTAAAGATTTTTTAAATCTCTACACCCAACATGGGGCTCGAACCCCAAAATCAAGAGTCGCAAGCTCCCAACAAAGGCGCCAACCAGGTACCCCTATCTTATTTATTTATTTGTTTTTTTTAAAGATTTATTTATTTATTTGACAGAGAGAGAGACAGCGAGAGAAGAAACAAGCACGGGGAGTGGGAGAGGGAGAAGCAGGCTTCCCCCGCAAGCAGGGAGCCAGATGCGGGGCTTGATCCCAGAAAGCTGGGATCATGACCTGAGCCGAAGGCAGACGCTTAACGACTGAGCCACCCAGATGCCCCATGTATTTTTTTTATTTAATTTATTCATTTGAGAGAGAGTGAGCATGAGGGGGGAGGGACAGAAGGAGAGGGAGAAGCAGGCTCGCCGCCGCTGAGCAAGGAGCCTCATCCTAGGACCCTGGGATCATGACCCCAGCCGAAGGCAGACGCTTAATTGACTGAGCCACCCAGGCGCCCCACCCCTGTCTCATTCATTCATTCATTCATTCATTTATTTATTTATTTTTCCCTTTCTCATTTAATTCTTAAAATAAACCTCTGTGTTTTGTTTCTAAAGATTTGATTTATGATTTATGTATTTTAGAGCGTGCACGCACACACACACCCACACCCACACACACACAAGTGGGGGGTGGGGCAGAAGAAGTGAGAGGGAGAATCCCAAGTAGACTCTGAGCTGAGTGTGGAGCCTGACACAGGGCCCCACACCAGGACCCTGAAATCATGACCTGAGCCAAAATCAAAGGTCGGATCCTTAACTGCTACCCAGTTGCCCCTACCCCAGCTTTAAAAAAAATCATGATAATGTTAGTTTTAGAAGTTCCTTTTTTCTATTTTTTAAAAAAAATTACTGATTTTGAGAGAGAGAGCATGCGCATGCACACAAGTGAGGGGAGGGGCAGAGGGAAAGAATCTCAAGTAGACTCCCCTCTGAGCACGGAGCCGATGGGGGGCTTGATGGGGTTTTTTTCTCACAACCCTGAGATCATGACCTGAGCTGAAATCAAGAGTCTGATTCAACCGACTGAGCCACCAGGCACCCCCCACTTTTTTCTGTTTTTAAAGTGGACATAAGAAGTCACCGACTTCTTCCCTGACAACTATTATAATTTGTGTTTTCTACGTGGAGATAGTTTTTCATTATTGTCCTCGATGTATAACATTGTGAGCCCTACTTTTCACTCAGTGTTTTTTCACGAATCTCCCTACGTTGACAGGCTTCTCGAGGAATTGAGTGCTCTTATTTAATTGACTTTATCGAATATTTAGGTTGCTTCTCACAATTCTATTTTAAGTTACCCTACTACAACATTGCATTTCTAGATTAGGCTCAGTGATTTTATTCTAGAATACTGTTAGATCTATGTAACTGGGCATTTGACTTTACAGTGACAAGACAAAGGACATTTGTCTCCCTTCTTTGTGACCACGCTGTCCTCACGTCTGAGTCAGTTATGCAGGTTGCTGTCTGGAGAAACGAAGCTGTTTATTTGGTGAGTGGAGGCCTTGCTGACTGTAGTCTCTGTTAGAGGCAGGCAGGTGCTGCTTTGATAGGGCCAGGTTTCTCCTCCCTGGGACTTGCATCATCTCTTCTCAAGCTGTGAAGAGGGGACAGCCCTGAATGCTAAGCATAACTTCTCTCCTCTTCATAGGGTGTTCATGTCTCAGGGATGGGAGGGTTCATCTCATAAAGTCCCTTAGTGTTAACAGTGGCTTAATAATGTGGAAACTACATCATTTAAAATTTTATTTTCTGTGCTCCAGCCTCACAGACTTGATCCTCCCTTTGAAGGCCGCTCCCTTTCATTCCTCGGTAATAGGCACCAGAGTCGAAGCACGGCTGAAGTCCAGGGTGGGGAAGAAGGAGGGTGCGGTATCATGCAGGGTGGGGTTAAGGAGGAAGGAATGGCACAACACCCAGTTCTGGGCCCAGAGGGGGGTGTTCTTTTAGATCCTGATCTGAGAGGGAAGAGAGTCCTATTTCACAGGCGGGATGCAGCTCTGGAATGATGCGGCTCACTTCTTGTTGGGATGGCTTCCTTTCTCTGCCCCTTCCGCGTGGCTCCTCACCAGCCCTACTGACAAGGGGGGGATGGAGGGACCAAATGAGCAGGAGGGGTCCTCTTTGAAACTCAGTGCTTGCACACATCCTCTCCTTGCCCTTGCTGCCTCTTCTCCAGCCTGCTGCCCAGAATGGCGATGCAGACTTCTGGCACTCTCTCCCACACCTTCCCCTTCTTCCCAGCAGATGCACCTGTCTGACAGTGCATCCTCTCCCCTGGCAGAGCTCCCAGACCTCGCAGCCCACACACACTTGCTGAGGTACCTGCTTCTCTCGGTGGCCTCAGGGGCAGCACTGCCTCCCCAGTCTCAACGAGGCCTTTCTGCCTACCAGCATTCTCCTGTCTGTTCCTGGGGCCTGGGAACGGCCTACATCAAAGAGCGCCCTGATTCCTTCCCGGGATGTCACTGTGCACACAGCACTTGGAGCTTACCCACTAGGAATCAGGGATGGGGCATCTAGAGAAGGGGAGAGATGCAGTCTCTGTGCCCTTCCTGCACAGGAGGAAAAGCTAAGGCCATTGCTTGAGGATGGTGGCCGCCAGCGGGGCGCGTTCCATAATCATTGTTGGGGGCCCAGGGGCCTGCTTCCCCATTCCCCCCTGGGATCGGCCCCTGGCTTCGTTAGCAGTTCCGTTTGGGTATTTTCTCCCAGATGGAAGCATTACATAAGTAGTCATATTTTCTTTATGAAAAACTGCAGCAGTAAGGTTGCAACTTAGATGTATCTGGCCCCAGGAAACCTCTCACTTTCTGCCTGTTTCCCCTGAGTTGTCCCTAGTGGTCTGGCTTTTCTGTTCTTTTTTTTTTCTTTAAAGATTTTATTCATTTATTTGACGGAAGAGAGAGAGACAACGAGAGAGGGAACACAAGAAGGGGGAATGGGAGAGGGAGAAGCAGGCTTCCCGCCGAGCAGGGAGCCCAATGTGGGGCTCGATCCCAGGACCCCGGGCTCATGACCTGAGCCGAAGGCAGCCGCTTAACGCTTAACGAGCCACCCAGGCGCCCCGGGCTTTTCTGTTCTGACGAGATGCTCCCCGTGACGTTCTTAGGGCTGTCTTTCTCTCTCTCATGTACTTGAGGCTGCCTGTAGGCCAGCCTCCTCATGGCCCCTGCCCATCGGCCTGCTCCTCACAGAGTAGCGCCGTGGCTACCCTTACGAATCACTCGATTCCTTGGAGAGGAGACCACTTTGCTGCTTCTGACGCTGGCCGGTTTCCTGAGACCTGCTCATCTCATGTGCTGTCCAGCCAGTGAGCAAGGCTTCCTCCTCCGCCCCTGCACCACAGCCTCAGGAGAGCAGGTGACAGTCACTCTTCCTGACCCACTTGCCAGCCGTAGCTTCCTCTTGAGGTCTGTGGAACCCTTGGCTCATTTGCTGTCAGGTTAGCAGTAGGGCGTACCCCAGGGGAGAGGTTTCTCTTGGCCACTGTATTTTTTTTTTTAAATGCTCTAAATATTTTAGTGTGGATTTCCTAAAACCAAAGGCGTGCTCCTACATAACAATAGTACAGCCATCAAATTTAGGCAATTAACACTCAAGCAACACTGACCCCTAATCCATAGACTGTGTTCTTGTCTCTGGTCGGGTCCAGGATCCAGTCTAGGATCACGAGTTGTGTTTAGTTATCATGTGTCTTTAGCTTCCTTTTATGTAGAACAGTTCTCTGGTCTTTATCTTTCACGACCTGACACTTGAAGAGTACTGGTCACTTATTTTATAGAATGTTCCTCAGTTTGGGCTTCTCTGACATTTCCTCATGATCAGATATGGTTAATACATTCTTGGCAAGAGTACAGAAGTGATGCTGTCCCCTTCTCAGTGCATCATGTCATGGCACATGATGGCCTATGTTCTATTATTGACAACATTAGCTTTGAGCACTTAGTAAGGTGCTGTCTGCCAGGCCTCTCCACTGTGAAGTTACTGTTTTCCTGTTTGCAGTAAAGTATCCTGTGGGGAGATACTTTGAGACTAGCTTTATTCATTCATCCATAAATTTGTTTATTTGTAACTACTTTATTGAGTTCTAATTCACATACCATAAAATTCACCCTCTTAAAATGTGCACTTATGTGGTTTGTAGTATATTCCGAGTTATGTAACCATCTGATTTTATAATATTTTGACGACCCCCAAAAAGAAACCCTCTACCTATTGGAAGTCACTCCCATTCCGCCTTCCTCTGAGCCTCTGACCACCTCTGATCTTTGACTACTGTAGCCTCAGGCTAGTGGAATCATATAAGTGGCCTTTTGTGGCTGCTTTCAATTACCATAATATTTTCTTTCCTTTTTTTTTAAGATTCATTTATTTATTTGAGAGGGAGTGTGTGAGGGGGAGGAACAGGAGGAGAGAAAAGAAACTCAAGTTAGACTCCGCTCTGAGCATGGAGTCCAATGCAGGGGCTTGATCTCATGACCCTGAGATCATGACCTGAGCTGAAATCAAGAGCCAGGTGCTTAACTGACTGAGCCACCCAGGCACCCATCAGTTACCATACTATTTTCAAGGCTTATCCGTGTTGTTGCATGGATCAGTACTTTATTCCTTTCTATGGTTGAGTAATATTCCATTGTGCGGATATACCACACTTTGTATATTCATCAGTTGATGGACATGTAGGTTGTTTGCACGTCTTAGCTATTATGGGAAATACTTCTATGAATATGCATATGTTTTTGCATAGACTTATTTTTTAAATTCTCTTGGGTATATACCTAGGAGTTGAATTATTAGGTCATATGATAATTCTGTTTAACATTTTGAGGAAACACCAAACTGTTTTTCAAAGTGACCACACTCTTTTACTTTCTCACAAGCAATGTGTGAGGGTTGCAGTTTCTCCACGTCCTTGCTGATACGTTATTAAGTGTCTTTGATTGTGGCCATCCCAGTGGGTGTGAAGTGGTATCTCACTGTGGTTTTGATGATGTGGAACATCTTTTATGCTGGCCATAAAAGAAGAAATGTTGATTGAAATCCTTGGCCCTTTTTAAAATAGAATTGTTGTCATTGTTGAGTGATAACAATTCTTTATATATTCTGGATCAGTGTTATTTATTTTGTTGCTCAAATTGTCCTTCACTAGTGGGAACCTCTTCAAACTGTTTCTTTGTGTTTTAATAGACCCCCATCATTTTTTTAGTGCTGTTATGAACTGTTATGAACTGAATTGTGTCCTTTTGAGATTCATATGAAGTCCTAGCCCCCAGTATACCTCAGAACATTACTGTATTTGGAGATAGGGCTGTTAGAGGCAATTAAGGTTAAATGAGGTCATAAAGGTGGAGCCCTAATCCAATACGACTGTTGTCCATATAAGAGGAAGAAACACCAAGGAGGGAAGGCCATGTGAGGACACAGCAAGAAGACAGACGTCTACAAGCCCCAAGGACCCAGGCCTCAGGAGAAACCAACCCCGCCGAACGACACCTTGATCTGGACTTGTAATTTCCAGAGCTGTGAGAAAATACATGTCTGTTGTTTAACCCACCCAGTCTGTGGTATTTTGTCAGGACAGCCCTAGACGACTGATACAGCTATTTTCTTAACTTTCTTGAACCACAAGGTTCATCCTGTACTTTCCTGCCCAGCCCTAGAGCCAGCTACTTTTTTAAGGATCAGTGGTTCTTGGAGAATCACATTTAGAAACCAGGATCTGAGCACAGGTGTGCCTGTTGTTTCCAGCTGTCTCGGGGGAGAGAGCTAGGAAGGAGAGGGATGTGTGTACCCACCCGCTCCATACTCTGTATCTGTTTCTCAGTTTCTCTGCCTGAGCTGTGTTAAAGCCTGAGTCCACACTGCGAACCTCCGATTTGAACCTCTGATTTCAGTTCAGTAGCACTGGCGTTCTAGCCTCCCCTTGTTCCTTCTGTGCTCCTCCTCAGGATACACATAGAGTCGAGTCTGATCCAGTTAGATGTGGGGGACGGAAGAGCGAGCCACACCGTGACGCAGGATGTGCAGCCGCTCTGAGGCTCTCTCTTCCCCCGTCTGCTCACCTCTCTCCTTGGTCTCTCCTTCTTCTGGTCTGTTCTTCCCTGCTGTTTTTTCCTTGACTAAGACATAAATACAAACTATCCATCATATATCTAATTTATGATAGATATTAGTCTTAGAACTAGTCAACCCAAAATAACATTGACAGCTGGCTAAAACTATACAAGGTAATGTGGGTTATTTTTTTTTTTTTTTTTAAGATTTTATTTATTTATTTGAGACAGAGAGAATGAGAGACAGAGAGCATGAGAGGGAGGAGGGTCAGAGGGAGAAGCAGACTCCCCGCCGAGCAGGGAGCCCGATGCGGGACTCGATCCAGGGACTCGATCCAGGGACTCCAGGATCATGACCTGAGCCGAAGGCAGTCGCTTAACCAACTGAGCCACCCAGGCGCCCCTGGTAATGTGGGTTATTGATTAAATGTGATGGGAAAGGGGCGCCTGGGTGGCTCAGTCATTAAGCGTCTGCTTTCTGCTCAGGTCATGATCCCAGGGTCCTGGGATCGAGCCCCGCATCGGGCTCCCTGCTCCGCGGGGAGCCTGCTTCTCCCTCTCCCCCTCCCCCTGCTTGTGTTCCCTTTCTCGCTGTGTCTCTCTCAGTCAAATAAATAAAATCTTTAAAAAAATTAAAAAATTTAAAAAAATGTGATGGGAAAATCAAATTTTCCTCATCAGATTGGGCCTTCCAGGATACGTGTACCTGGCAGAAATGCCAGGACCACGAAGGAAAAATTACAAGGGCAATAAAAGCTAGTTATGTACAAAATGCTAGATCTAATCTTTGTTATAAAATTACAACTGACATGGACTAATCCTGATGAAAATAATCTTAGTAAAGCATGAATGAAAATGGGAAAATGGGAAACTCTTTGTGCCACATAGAAAATGACTCAGTGGATTTTGTACCAGAAAATACAAACTGCAGGAAGGAGGTGTAGTGGAAGGTAAGGCTGGAGAGGAGGCCAGGATGTTTCTCATGTCAGGATCCGTGGGGCCCGCCGGCTCGCTGTGAGGGAGGGGAGCCCCATCAGGCTTGCATTTAAGAGTGCCGCACTGTGCACTACAGAGCCCCTCTTCCGAGAGGGCCAGCTGAAGAAGGTGTCAGATAAGGGCTGAGGACTGTGGGAAAGAGGCTGGGAGAGGGAGGGAGGGAGTGCGGCAGGAGAGAGAGACACACAGGAACACTTGTGGCTGTGCACGGTGGGAAAGGTTGAGAAATTGGGCCTTTTCATTCTTACAGGGTTGACGTTGAGCTGGGCTTTGGAAAGATCACGAAGGGTAGGGTGGATAAGTTGAGGGGCATGCCAGACAAAAGAGGTGGACTGAGGAGGCGCACAGGCCCGCGTGCAGAGACCCTGGCAAAGCGTCTGGGAAGGGGTTGGCGAGGAGACCATTCAGAGAACTACGCAGCAGAGTGTCCCCATGTGCCCCCACGGATGTCACTGCAGGGGTGGGAGTGGGGGTGATGGAACACACACACACACACACACACACCCAGCACTCTCATACACTGCTGCTAGGAGTGTCAATGAGGGCCACTGTTTAGGAAAAGGAGTTGGCAGTTTCTTATAATGTTAAACATACACTTACCCTATCACGCACTCATTCCGCTCCACCCCAGAGAAGTTCAAACACGGGTCCACACAAAGCCTGGTACGGAATGTTCACTGCAGCGTTATTTATAATAGCTGAAGACTGAAACTGCCCCACATGTTCATCAACAGCAAATGGATAAACAAATTGTACATCCATACAGTGGAATACCACTCTGCTCAATGCACACAAATACAGTGAAACAAATTACTGACCTCTGCAACAACATGGAGAAATCTTAAAAACTCTGTGCTGAACTAAAGAAGCCAAACACGAGTACATGCTGTCAGATTCCCTTTATATGAAGCCGTAGAAGGGACAAAAGTGGCATGGTAGAAATCACAACAGCAACAGCGGTTGCCCCTGAGGTGGAAGGTACTGACTAGGACGGGGCATGAGGGAACTTTCTGGGATGACGGAAATGTTCTGTATCTCCATAGAGACATGGATTAAACAAGTGTAAAGATCTGTGCATTTCACTCTATGTAAATTACATATCAATTAAAAATAATTTATCGCAGTCTGGGAAGACTGGAAATTGCATTAAAAATCAGATGCAAGTTCTTACTTTGGCTTGTTTTTTCTTGGTGATGGTGAACTTGGAAGGTTTTTTGTTTTAAGGCCTTAGCCTGCTTGTTGGGGCGCTCTGGCTGCAGCCAGCTGACCCGGGGCCGTGCAGCCCCCCCCCCTCCTCCCCTCCTCCGTGTCTGCGTCCCGTTGCTCGCTTGGAGCAGAAGAGCTGTAGCCTGGGTTCTCTGGCTGACGACACCCTTCCAGGGGCTGGACCTTTTTTGGTCTTGGTGTTTTAAGGCACAGTTTGACAAGATCAGCAGGAGTAGGGACGATGTGGTGTTGTGGAGATGGTGAGGGCTTTGGAATTGGCCCCACCTGGGTTTGAATCCAGAGGTAATCACTGTGTGGCCTTGAACCTATATCCTTGAGCCTCAATTTTCTCTTCTGGAAACTGGGGGTAACAGCGGTTGTCAGAGTTCAACAAACCTGCTCAGGGAAGAGAGCCATTCCTACTGCTTGGCGCATGGGGGAACCAGCAAGCGTGGCGGCTGGGGTCCTGGCTGTCGCTCCCGTGGCTTCCACACAACAGGTGCTGCTCCCAGTCTGGCCTGCCCTTCTGTGGTGCAGGCCACCTGCCAGAGCTCTGGGGCACTGTCTTCCTTCACATGTCCCGTGGTATCATCTTAGGTCTTGTTGGGAGCCGAGTTAGGGACCTCATCTAGAAGAAACTGACTATCATTATATTTTAAGGGTATCAGCATGGAAGCCATGAGTGAGAATAAGATGGTGCCCTCTGATTTCAGCACAGGACCCATGGAAAAAGCTGCCAAGCCATTGCCATTTAAGGATCCAAACTTTGTGGTAAGCTTCTAAGGTATTTTATAAATGAAAAAACCAAACAGCCACAGCCCAGCCTCTGATCCTGCTGGGCCTGCAGCCCGGGTGGCACTGGTGTCCCTTTCTCTGTCAGTCCAAGTCGCCACCTTCTCTGCTAGGGGCTGTTAGGAGAGGGTGGGGGCAGGACGGGGCCCTTCTCGTTGCTCACCCAGTGGGCTGGTTCCCCAGGATTTTGGAGCTCCTCGTGGAACTGGTTAGAAGATACTCTTTTGAGGGTGGGTCATTTCCACGATTGTTCACCATCCCTTTTCATTGGGCTTATGTAAGTTTTAGATGAGGCTTAAAACAACTAAAAGAGGAGTTCTCCTCATTAGTTTAAGTAAATCTAACTTGTGTTGCTGTAAAGTAGAAATAGGCTCCTCTTCCTTTCATTCTTGAGAGCTATGATAATTCCAGAGATTCATATTGTATCATTAGAAGTTTGTTTTTCATTAGTTTTAAAAATACAGTATTACCAGCACCTTCAACAGATTTTGATATTCTTTTCCATTTTATCATATTTACAGAACAGAACTCCCCAAAGTCCAGGGGGCTTGCCATGCCATGGTTGAGGCTTACTTGGGTTTTCCAGCATCCCCAGTAATTTGCCAGGCGGGGACCAGCCCTCAGAAGGGAGTTGAGAGACGTGGTCATGAGTTTAAATGTAACTTTGTAATAAATTTATTTTAAAGCAATGGGGAATTCATGAGTGAATTCTCTAAAGTTAGTTCGAATAAAGGATGTGATCTTCCATGAGCATATAAAAAAGGACAACACGCACACAAAAAAACCCTTTTATTTCTACTCCATGACAGGCTACCTACCAAAAGCTTTGTGTTTTTATAAGTAAGATTAAAGTGTACAGTGTAATACTTAAAAAAAAAAAACCCAACCCTTCAGGGTACAAATGAGCTGACAGAATGAGGGGTGTGTTTCCATTAGGAATAAGCATGATTCAGATCCTGAAGTGATAGCCTCCCCTGATTTCTGTTTCTTCTGCTCCACGTCTTTCATTCCAGCACTCTGGCCATGGTGGTGCGGTCGCTGGCAAGAAGAACAGAACCTGGAAGAATCTGAAACAGATCCTCGCTTCTGAAAGGGCATTGCCGTGGCAACTGAACGATCCTAACTGTGAGCTGTCTAGAGCCTTCTGTGTGTTTATCATGTTCAGAGTGGGAACCGTAACAAACCTACGTGACTTGCCTGTGTTTGCATTAACGTAGGGAACAACTTGTAGCTCGGGGATCGGAGGGGTGCATCAGCACAGAAGGCCATGTGCACGTAACTGTGCTGAACCTGTTTGTGTTGTCACGGACGTGTGGTTATTAGCGGCGCTGTTCACATTTCAGTCTGGAGCAATCGGTCCTCATGTGATAACACTGGTGTTTCTGTCAGACAGACTTCTGATTCAGGAGTCTACTCTTAAAATGTATTTCCGGGAACAGGATTGCCCCAGATTTAGGAGGGTTTCTAACAACCATCTTAAAGGCTAACTCTGTTGTACTCTCTGTGCAGTCGGTGTCAGAGTAAATGCTTTACACTGCAGTATTTTCAGGTCCATGTAAAGCACTCTTGTGTGTTCTGTTCAGCCTCACTGGAAAGAACAGGTCAAAGTTCCCTCCATCTCCTGTCCCACAGCACATCTTTCATGGGGGTGACTCAGACGGGTGACAGGTGAGCTAGTCAGTGTCTGGGTGTGATCATTCCGGTGTCCGGATACTCAGATCCAATCAGTGGGTTGTTTGGCATCGCCCACAGCCTGTGTAGCCTGCAGCAGTGGGAGTGGCCTGTGGGCAGATGAGCTTTCCGGTGGTTCAGCTGGAGTGGAGGGGCCCCAGGGACAGGGCAGAGCTCAATCCAGAGCCTGCGCTTGGTCTGTGACTTACTGTATTACTTCCCCAGAGAATTCTTTGAGGACTTACTCACAGAATAAAAATTTCAGAAATATCATCCAACAGCATTTTCAGAGAAAAAAAGGAAAGGGATCTGAATATTTTAAAGCCAGCTTAGTTATCTTCTTTCTTTTTTTTTCCCCCCAGACTTCAGTATTGACGCTCCTCCCTCCTTTAAACCAGCTAAGAAGTATTCTGATGTTTCAGGTCTTCTTGTGAGTATAATTCCATCTCTAGGTCTCATAGCATTGAGTTGGAAAGGAGATCTCACAATACCATTTAGAAAGTGTTGACAGGGGCCACCCCTGACCCTGCCTGGAGCCTGGGTACTGGGTTTGTGCTGAAGAGCTCACATGCTTATCTTAGAGTGGCCGCAACTGGGGCCTCCGTGTGAGCAGCCCGGAGGGAAGATTGCTCCAGAAAGTGCGAGACCCGGCTTTCACCTCCCCTTCCTCTGCTTGTTAACACATGAGATAACATGAAAGAAACAATTTCTTTTTTTACTGCTGAAATTTAAAAAATTTCTCCTATTTTGAGATGATTGTACTTTTAAAAATATAGTTAAGCTAAAATGGGCCATTTCACTTTTGAAAACTCATTCATATCATTTAAATGCTTTACATTTTTATGAAAATGTATGACCTCCGAACTTCTATAACAAACTGACTAAATCAATAATACACGTTTTATGCTGGGAAAGATTTGAGTTTTTCTTATATTTTTGAAAATAATGTTATTCTCTCCGAATCAGTTGTATGTTGTAGCTTCTCCTCCGCAGAGCACACACTCCTCCGTGTACTACAGATTTTTTTTTAAAGTAGTCTCCACGCCCAGTGTGGAGCCCGATGTGGGGCTTGAACCCACAACCCTGAGATCAAGGCCTGAGCTGAGAACAAGAGTCGGACACCTAGCCGACTGAGCCGCCCCGGCGCCCCTGTACTATAAACTTTTTAACATAGACCCTTAAATACAATGATCGTAAAAAACAACAGGCAGAGTAGAGGTACTGTAACATGGCATGTGTGCATGTGTGTGTGTGTGGGGGGGGGTTCTTCTGCCATCCATTCAGGGCGCGTATCTCCTTCTAACCTCAGAGGGGACTTCACCCTTACGAGCAGTGTTGTGGCCTTACACGATCTCTTTTCTCCTGCCGGAAAATAGTCACCTCATCGATCTGACCCATTTTAATAATTGTTTATAGCAGGAGAACTACTGTGGGAGCAGCTGTTCTGTTCCAGCCCCAGCTGGACATTTCTCCTTGGAGAAGCCATGGTTTAAGGGCAGACTTAGAGGTTCCCTGAGAAGGTAGCTTTATCCTCGCCTTGAGACAGCTCATCTGCTAGCGCAGTGGCTTGCACATGTTAGGAGGCATGAGAATCACTTTGAGAAGCATTGTTGCAGGCCCTTTATGCTACAGGCAAGGACTTGTCATGTCATATGTAACCTAAAACCTCTGGCCCCACTGTATGTAAGAATTAAGGAATCTTGAATATACAAAGAACTCTACCAAATCATTGAAAGGCAATCCCATAGAAGGACTGGCTAAAAGGGTATGAGGACAGTTACAAGGAGGACATACAGATGATCAGTAAGTAGATACTCAGTCTCACTGATAATTAGGAAAAAGGCTCCTCAGCAGAAAAGAAATGAGGATGTTTGATTATAAACATCATCAACGTAGAGAAATGGATATCCTCAATACACGGCCCTTTTGAGGTGGGAATACATTAGTCTGGATTCTTTGGGGGACATTTGGCAGTACCTTTCAAGGCAGAGAAGCGAAAGCCTGTGCCCCAGCAATTTGCCTTCTAGGCACCCCCTAGAGAAATAGCGTGTACAAGGAGCTTTGTGCAGAAATGATTATGAGAAAATGGGATTATGAGCAAAATACTGGGAACACAATAAAGGTCAGTCAACCGGGGCGCGGGGTGGGGATGTTTTTATACTCTTCTGTGAGCCTGATGTATAGGTAACAACAGGGATAAACTTCCAAGATGTGTCGTTTACTGAAACGTGCAAAGTAGCATAAGCAGCAGGCTACCAGTTAAGCCAAAACCCACACACACTCACAAAAAAATAGTGGGGTGATTTCCCTGGCGTGTTTATGTATGTGTGTAAGAGTATATACAAACAAGGTCTGGAAGGGTGCCCACGTACAGTGGTTTCCTCAGGGAAAGGCAAGGACTTTTGGATGGCAGATGGTTGGAAAAGGGGCCTGGAGTCTTATTCATAATGTTTTCTCTCTCTTTCTTTCTTAGAGTATGTCCATTTGTTACTTGTGCAAGTTCAAGTTGCATGATTACAAAATAAAGCCCCGGTCCTGGTTACCCGGACGCACCTGGGCCGGCCGACGTGCGTGGCCGTGGCAGGGAGGCGGGCGGGGTCCACCTGTGTGTAGTCGTTGTTCCAAAGCCATGGGAAGTACCGCGGCTGTGGGTGAGATGGGGAGAGCAGTGAGCGCCGCCTGTCACCTTGTGGCAGGGGAGGCCTTTAAGCCGTTTACTGCCACCCTCCGGGAAGGCTGCCTTTGTTCGGCTCAGGCTCCGGGGATGGAAGCCAGAGGAAGGCAGACTGGAGGAGTGCAGTTCTTTACTCGTTCAGCGCTGGGTGTCACTTGGCATCCTCCCTTCTGTTCAGAATACTAGGTCAGGTCCCGTCTATGCAAGCTTTCGTTGGTGACCTTTCTGTGGGTGCCAGGGTATCTGTGTATTGTGCCTTATTTAAAGCAGCCTTCTTGGCAGTGAGGTCTGAACTTGGGCGGGCTGGCTCAGCACAGTTTGGTGGTAGGAGTGAGGCCGCCACAGAAATGGAGCCAGGCGGAGGCTGGTTCCTCTCTGGAGGCCAGATGATCAAAGCCAGCTGCACAGGCCTGCCCCCCTGCTTGCAGCTGCAGGGGGGCCTCTCCTGCCCCGGTCCGTGCACCTCACTGCCTCATGGCCAGTTCTCCAGAGGGGCTTGTGGCTGTTGTTCTGGTTAAGCCTTCCTTAATATTACTGTCACTAAAGGAAACTTGGGACAGAAAGGCAAAATCTAGACAAAGCCAAAGGATCAAGGTTTTATTTAATGGAGAGCTTTAATTTATCTTGAGGAATCATCTCCTTTTCCTGCCATGCAGATGTTAACTACCTTCGGGAGATCCCCTGAGGCAGAATTGAGGACTTTGTAGAGTGTGAGAACTCTGTGACTAAGTTCCCCTCAGCTGTTGCTTCTTCGGCCTCCCCTCCCTTCTTCGGTCCCGGCGGGGCCCACAGACGGTCTTCACGGCAGTAACTGGATGTTATCTGTGTAGACTTTAATGGCATCTTTTATAATTTTTTAAAGGAGTTCCAAGTGACTCACCCTCATGTCTTCTGTTTCAAAATCTGTAGAAGCCATTTGACTTGAGGTATACAGTAAGGGAATTTATTTCCTCCATTTTGCATGTGGGGAACACAGACCAGAAGAGAATTTTGATGTCAGTGAGAAGTGAGTTCTCTTTTCTAGGATTGTCCCGATCATCCATTTGTTCGTTCGTTCGTTCATTCATCACTCATTGGACAGACACTACCTGAAGGCCCACTGTGCGCTCTGCATTCCACTAGGAGCAGGGATGCTGTGATAAGCAAACCACAGGGTTCCTGCCCCATGGAGCCTCTCAGCCTAGACCTTGCTTAGAGTCATGCAGATAATAAACGTGAAAGCAAGAGACAGAAGCATTCTACAGGAGACAGATGTGGGGAGAGGGGGGGAGCAGAAAAGGCTTCCCTGATGAGATGACTGGGGGCTGAGCCCTGAAGGATGAGCAGGCCATTAGGGAGCAGAGTGGCCCCTCCCCAGGGAAGGGTGAGTGGGGTATGAATGCAGGGAGGGACTGAGAGCCAGGGCAGTTGGAACCAGAGTGGGGACGTGCGGCTGAGGAAGAGGCTTGGGAAGGAAGAGGGCCCAGGCCAGCTTGCGGGGTCTGAGGAGCCATGCTGAGGACTTGAGCCACTGAGAGATTCCCCACCAAGGAATGACACGATCAGAAGTGCAAGTTGTGGAGATGACCTTGGTTGCAGCTGTGGGGTGGCAGTCCCTTCCAGTGGGAGGGTGGGGGTAGTGGCCCATCAGCACTGCGGTGTAGCCCGGGGAGCCACTGGGAGCCATGGGAGTGGCGTGGGGAGGGCGTGGGGCAGGAGAGGCTCCAAAGCGGGGTGTAACAGGGAGGGGCGGCTGTGCCTGGCAAGCCTCCGGTCCCGGTCCCGCCTTGGGGGATGGAGCTGGAACCTCCGTCCGAAGCAGGTGGGAGTTTGAAGGCAGGGGCCGGGGAGGGACGATCATCAGGAATTCCGTTCGCTGTAGCTCTTGCGGCGCCCACAGCCCACAGCCCTAGTGTCTGACGTGGTTCCTCCTCTTCCTCCCGACTGTACCTTGAAGTATTTCTCAAGTCTGGGAAGATTAACAAGTCTTTGCCAAAATGAGCAATTTAGTGTTCTTGGTGACAGAGTAAGACAAAATGAAGATACTTCACTTGAAGTAAAATAGAAAAAAATTTTTTAAACTTGAACTTCAAATATTCACCACGACCACCAACATTCTGCCTTTCTCTGTGCCGGTTTCCCACCCAGGCCAACTACACTGACCCCCAGAGCAAACTGCGGTTCAGCACCATCGAAGAGTTTTCCTACATCCGGAGGCTGCCCTCTGACGTGGTCACTGGCTACCTGGCCCTGAGGAAGGCCACAAGCATCGTTCCCTGAGACTCGAGAAATGGGGATGAGGTGGAAGACTGTTTCAAAGGCAGACTTTGGACTCATGATTTTGTTTCATGGAAACAAACTCATTCTGCTGTCAATCTGGAAATGTCAGTGCTGTGCCTTGGAAAGAATGTTTGGCTTTAATTTCAGTTTTTTTTTTTTCTTCTCTCTGTTTTCCCTCCAAGTGTGATATTTCCTGTTGAATTAAATTATACTTCAGTTGTTGCCTCAAGTAAAGTTGTTTGACAAGAAAATATAAAATTGTGCTTTTAACTTAACCCACATACCTCCCCAAGTTTTTGCTTCAACGTTGTGAACTCTCCTATTACACATTTAAAGATTACAGTGAATCCTGACATCAGGGCTGGATTATTCCTGGTCCTGGTGACTCCCACTGTAGCGCAGATTAGGTTTTGGGTTTTTTTTTTTGTTTTGTTTGTTTGTTTTTTTTTTATCAGAATGCTTGGAGGAGGTCCAAGATTGGGACTGGCGAAGAAAGAGCTGAGTACTCCCCCCACTGCATGGGGCCAGCCTCTCTCCAGCCTCCAGAACTGAGAGAGATACGTGTCTGTTATGTAAGCCACCCAGTCTGGCATTTTGTGTGGCTGCTTTAGCTGGCTAAAACACCAGCCCTAGCCCCACTTCTTGAGTGTGGGGTGCGAACACCCACACCTCATCCGAGAAGGACTCTTGTCCTGGTACAGGGTGCTGCCCCTTTGACTGAAGCCTGCTCTGGAACAGCAGTGTTGGCTTCCCCCTCTCTAGGGGGAGAGCGGGGCAGAGCGTGGAGACATGGTCTGGGCCTCTCTGAGCCCACTCCCATGTTTCTCTAGGGAGGACAGTGAACTAGAGCCTGAGGCTTTGGGGCCTGAGCTGCCTCTGCCTTGGGGGATCAGGAGGCCAGGTGCCAAATGCCCTTCTGCAACCTCTCCTGGCTTAGAGAAAAGAAAAACAAAGCCGGGAGAGTGGCCTGCTGGCTGGGCTTCCTTTCCTTCCGGTACAGCAGCCCCTGGGTCATCCCAGTAACCAGGGGTGAGAGTGGGAGGAGTGCAGGGTGGCTCCCCTCCCACGGAAAGGGAGTAAGGGAGGACCAGGAGAGGTGGGAACCTTTCTGAAGCCCATGCACACTGAACATTTGAGCCTCTGGTGCAGGAATCCTCAAACCGGAAACGGAAGTTCTCTGAGAGACCAGAGGTGCTTCTTGGGCTCCCCCTCTCGCTCCTGCACTTGCTGCCAGGAGGCAGCCTCGGAAAATCCCCCAGTTTCCCTTTTGGTGGAAATAGGGAGTGAGCCAAGGGCCCTTCCTGTTTCACTTCCACCTTCTATTATACAAAGAAAACTTGGGGCAGGTCCACTTCTTTTCCATGAAGGCCCCCAGTTGGATAGTGCCCCACTATCCAATTTTAACCATTTCTAGAAATGGAAGTTCTAATCATTTCTAACACTTACTGCTGGGCACTACCTCAGTCTTAACTATTCAGACTCCTGGGCCAGGGTCCAGGATGAAAGGGATTCCCTGCCCCGTATGTGTCCCTCATGGGGGCCCACAGACCATTGCTCCTGCAGGCCTCTCGGGGCTTCTGGGCTGTGTGCACGCGTGCGCATGTGTGCTGAGAGCCCTCTGTCAGGGTCACCTGGGACCCATTAAAAAGCAGATTCCTGGGCCGCAGCCTAGCCTGACCGTAGGAGGAAGTGGGACCCAGGCATCTGCATTTGACAAACATCCCCTCGTGAATGGGACACTTAGAAGTGTGAAAAGCACCACCTCCCACGGGCAGAGGGAAGCACGTGTGCAGACACCTGGCTCCCTTCTTTCCTGTTCCCCCGCCAGGCTGTCCTTGCCGGTCTCTGTGCAGAGGGCTGAGTTCCAAAGGTCAGGTCAGTTCACCCCAAGCAACAGGGGTCCAAGCTGAGCCAAGCTAAGCTTCAAGCTGTGAGCACTTCCAACCAGGAGTCCAGGCAGGCGATTTGTGCTGAAAGAGCCCTTGCTGTCCATGCCTAGCCTGGAGGTTCTCAGCCCTGGCTGCACATTAGCATCCCCTCGGTCGCTAATGGGGGGGATGGTGGGGAGAGGTGTAAAAAGACCCAGGGATTCTGATTCAACTGGCTTGAGCTGGGGCCTGGGCACAGTATTTTCAAACTCCCCAGGTGATTTAATGTGTAGCCAGTGTCGAGAACCCTTGTTGCTCTAACTACAAAGTGGATATTTCACATGGGGTATGTTTTCTAATCCATAGATCAGCCGGCTCTTTCCATTGCAAGGCCATGGGCAATTTGGAAGGAGGTTCCTCTTTACTTCCCACTCCCATATCCCCTCTTCTCTCATACTGACCATTCCCCTTCTGTCCGGTCCTGTTCCTACCTGACTTCAGGAGCACATCACCTCCTTCCTGGACATTTTCAGTGTCCTCCTAACTGCCCTTTCCAAGGGTCTGATCCCTACCCCTCCGCTTTCCCCTCTGCCGGCAGAGGATCCTTCCTCAGCTTTGGATGAGAACTTGACTTTGCCCATCACGGCACGTCCACAGGCAGTTTGTCTCAGATACCTTATCAATTCCGGCATTGGCCTAGAGTATCCAAAGGATACACTCAGCCCCTTAAAAAAGAAAACATTAGCTGAGAAATCAGATTGTTTTCATAAGACCAAACTGAGGTCCAATCTGCTCTAAGTAGAGTTTGACTCTTTCCTAATATCTGTCTGATACTTGTCTTCACTTTAAGAGGAGAAGAATCTATTATTGCACATAGATTAGAACCTCTTGCAATGTTGGACAAATGCCCTCCAGGGCCCAGGTGGATGAGCGGGACCCATTTTGCTCCTGTCTCCCAAGTTAAAGCATACTTCCATCTGGATTTTGAATTTTGTTTTATAATTGGGCCAAAAGTGTTTTCAGTGAGAAATTTCTCATTTCTGAATCCGTGGCCATTGTAAAGAGACATCAGACTCTGGATGCTGCTTCCAGTGACCTATAACTGAGTTGGAAGTGCTTAACTTAGTAAAAATAAAGAGTAACGAAAGAAACGGATGGAGTAGGGAGTAAAGAACCTAACCAAATAGGACAGGTACCTGGGGAAGACATTGAGAATGATGTCCTCTTCCAAATGTGCGAAATGATAACTCTTATTTAAAATAATGTTCTCTCTGATAGGAATGTGTAGGTCTTATTTGGATATTGATTCAAACAAAAAAGACTTAAAACATTTTTGAGACAACTGGACATTCGATATTTGATGATATTTAGGAACTCTTAGGAATACTGTTAGTTGTGATAATGGTCTTGTGATGTTAAAAGGATTGGTATCTTTTAGAGACACTGAAATATTTATGGATGGAATGATATGATCTCTGGGATTTGCTGCAGGACAATATGGGAGAGAGGAAGTGGATGGGAGTAGTGTTGAAACAAGACTGGCCACGAGTCAATAATTGTCGAAGCTGAGTGATGGGTATGTGTAGGTTCATTATATTATTCTGCTTTCATATGTGTTTGAATTTCTCCATAGTAAAGTGCTTTTTATTTTTTTTCTAAAGATTTTATTTATTTATTTGACAGTGAGAGAGAGGGAGAGAGAGAGCGCACAAGCAGGGGGAGTGGGAGAGGGAGAAGCAGGCTTCCCGCCGAGCAGGGAGCCCAATGCGGCGCCCCATAAAGTGCTTTTTAAAAGAATATGATGTTTTGGGGTGCCTGGGTGGCTCAGTCGATTAAGTGTCTGACTCTTGACCTCAGCTCAGGTCTTGATCTCAGGGTTGTGAGTTCAAGCCTCCTATTGGGCTCCATGTTGGGCAGGGAACCTACTTAAGAAAAAAAAAAAGATTATGATGTTTTTAATACTAAAAATTTAAATACATTTTTACCTAAAATTGGTGGTCTGCATTAGCTTGACGTTGTGTGCTGGCAGTTTGAGAACCGCTGCCTGAAGAGCATGAGGTCTTGAATAGAGGGAATATCCAATTCCTGAAGCATTGCACAAAGGACACGTTGGAAGAAAAGAACCACAAGGCAGGTGAAGTTGTCCTTTAGTGTGTTCTGTGATCCCAGAGCACTGTAAGAGTAGTTCCTGACATAGGCATGGGAGTGGAGAGACCCGAGACTTCAGCTTCAAGTTTCTCCTGGTGTTTAAATAATTTGTACTAGAGCAGGTTTGGGATGCATTAGAATGACTGACTGTGGTTTGAGAAAATACCGGTTGATCTACTGCCTGGAGACACAGGCCTACAAAAATTGCTACTGCGTCTGATGCAGATACCCCCGTGCAGGGTGCACTTCCTGGTGGGGCACCTGCACACGGAGCCTGAGAGCCTGGGTTTGAATCTCCTTTCTGTAACTGACTAACTCTCTGGTCTTGGGCAAATTACTAACTTACTCTCAAACTGTCAGTTTTCTGAACTGTAAAATGAGCATCATAATAGTATCCACCCCACCAGATTGCCAGGATCAAATGAGAAAACGTCAGAAGAGCATTTAACTCGGAGTGTGGCCCATGTGCCAGCAAGTGTGAACTGTGCTCACTCACCTCCCTCTGGGCTCTGCTTTAGAAAGGCAGGTCTTCTTCTAACTCACCAATGTACTCCTTCTGCCGGATTCTTTTTTCTCTGTTGTTTTTTAAATTTTTTTTCTCTTTTCTTTGGCTTCTGCGACTCTTAGATCCACATTTGTCGCCCACCTGTAGTAACTGAACAACATCGCATGACAGATGTTTCCTTGTGCTGATCTTACTGCTGGCTCTATCAACTATTTTCCTTGTCTTCTTCATGGCTTATCTTGGTCATCTATTCCATCTTCTGTGTATTTTTATAAGCCGGTTCATTTTTTTTTTTTAATGGCATAAGGGAAGGAGTAAATAACTAGCTAAATAAATAAGCCATCTGTGACTTAGGCCAGGGGAAGAGAGGAGTCATGGGGGTGGACAGGAGAGGACTTTGATAAATGAACTTCATCGGAGTAACAGGGAGAGGAGGGGCCAACAGAAACAACCCACTGGGCCTCTTCAAAATCGTGGTTGATTGGGATACCTGGGTGGCTCAGTCGGTTAAGCGTCTGCCTTCGGCTCAGGTCATGATCCCAGGGTCCTGGGATCGAGCCCCGCATCGGGCTCCTTGCTCGGCGGGGAGCCTGCTTCTCCCTCTGCCTGCCGCTCCCCCTGCCTGTGTTCTCTCTCTCTCTCTCTCTGACAAATAAATAAAATCTTTAAAAAAAAAAAAAATCACTGCTGCTTTATGCCTTCCTTGGTATTCATCATGTATGCTACCATTGTTTGTTTCCCTGTAATAACGGGCCATCGAATCCTTAAAAACAGAAAAGGGGCAAGTTGTCTACTTGTTTTGGTGGCAGGGTTGGGTGTGAAAATGGGGCAGCTTTCCCCCCACTGCAAACACAGAAACCCAGGATTCAGCCAGGTTTTCTTCTATGACTCAGTGGCTCTGTGCACTGGGGCTTCTGTCTCCACAGCAGACAAAGCCTTTCCTGGGAAGAGGTTGCATTTTCCTGGCCAACAGGATGCTGACTGCTGACAGGCGCACCGTGTGCACCAAACACACCACTCTCTTCCACTCAGGGTCAGAGAGATGAGTCACCTCCACCAGCCCAGGGGACTCAGAGCCTTGGATCTTTCCAGCATGAATGCAGCAGGGCATGGCCTGCGGCTTTGTGATAGGGAACACAGAAAGGGCTTTTTTCAGAGATCTAACCAAGGCCCTGGTGACTGATATCTCCCCTCATAACAACTGGGGAGGAAGCTGCTAACTAGAGATAAAGATGGCAGAGTTTCTGGTCTTTTCAAAGAAAAAGTCCCTTTAGAGACAATATCAGACCTTGAAAATGAGGTGTCCCAAAAGTACACATTAGCTCTCTTCCCCCCAAACTCCTTGCTTGCCTGTCTGGAAGGTTTTGCAAAGATACAATAACCTAAGTATTTGTGCCACTCATTACCATTTTCCCACAAATTCGACGCTACTGTACCTGCTTGTGGAGTGGCAGGGGCCTTCGGCTTTGCTCAGAAGCAAACATGGCTACGGGAACAGAGGGAGAGAGGGGCAAGGAATGGAGCATGTGCACGGGAGCGCTGGGAGCACGCTGGTTCTGGGACAGCGAAGGCAAGCCCTCGTAGTCGTGGCACTGCCTGGGCCAGGGCCCTCCTCAGAGGAAGCTTTCAGATTTCTCTCTCTCAGAAGCTTTCTGATTTCCTAGGCCTCCGGCAAGGTTCATCTTTAATTATAAGGAGCTTATTTATTTATTTTCCTTCTTTATCTGTTTTCTCTAATTTAATAGAAAAAAAAAGTCCATGGCTGTATCACCCTGAATGCACCCGATCTCATCTGATCTTGGAAGCCAAGCAGGGTCTGGCCTGGTTAGTACTTGGATGGGAGAAAAAAAAACATGATATACGAAAAGTCAGAGTTAGACATGAAAACCATGAATGGCATATTGCTAAGTGCATGAAAAAAATCACAAAATCATAGGTGAACCCTATTTTTGTAGTAACAAAAACATCAATAAGAAAGGATGTGAAAGGATTCATGCCAAGAAGTGAATAGTCTTCTTTGGAGAAGGGAGTAGATTTGGGGTAGGAGTTATGAAGAAGGGGAACTTACACTTTTTACTCTGAAATTCTGGAATTTGGAGGGAGAGAGAGCACACAGTCTTTTTAAAAAGAGTAAAAAAGTCAATTTAGGTGCTCTGGGTTGGGAGTATTCACCTTCCCGTGGAATGCAGGCTTGTCCTCGAGGTGGGACCCTCCCTCCCAGACTTCCTGGGTCCATAAGGAAAGCCCCTCACCGCCCGCCCTGCCCACCAAGACACGAGACCCTCTGTCCTGCCACGTGTCAGGGCTGCTAACACTCCCCGACAGCGCAATGCTGCACCTCAGGGAATACAAAGCACACCTCGCTGTTATTCTCACGTGATGCTCACGGCGATCCTGCGACGCCAGGATAGCAGTGTGTCCACTGTACACCCGAGGGAGCTGAAGCTCAAGGCGCGAAACCACACCGCTGCTGGGAGGCAGGGAGGGCAGTGAGGCAGGCCCCCTGCATCCACACTCAGGCTTCCTTCCGGCCCCTGCTGCCTCTGGCAGAAGACGGTTGGTGTGGTGCTACCTGACGACAGCAAGAAGGAGCACAGGGACTCTGCCTGGCTGGAACATGAGGACACCATGTAAGTGCACGTGCCCATGGAATTAATGTCCTGGGGTGGTTAACTTTATGTGTAACTCGGCTAGGCCATGGTGCCCAGTATTGAGTCAAACACCAGTCTAGATTTGCTTTTTTAGATGACATTAATATTTAAACCAGTAGACTTTGAATAAATCATTAGTCTTCATAATGTGGGTGGGTCTCATCTAATCAGTTGAAGGCCTTAAGAGAAAAAGACTGAGGACCACCCAAGAGGAGGGAATTCTGCCTCCAGGCTGCCTCTGGACTCAATAGCAACCCTACCCTGGATCTCTTGCCTGCTGGTCTGCCATTAAAATTTCAGACTTGCCAACCCCATATTCCTGTGAGCCAATTCCTTAAAATAAATCTCTTTCTCTTCATATATATGCACATTCTACTGGCTCTTTCTCTAGAGAACCCTGACCAATACACTTTCCCCGAAGGGTGGACACATTTAATTTAGACTAGCTTTTGTTGGTATTGTCATACCTAGCAGTGAGGCTTGCCCATCTTACATGCTTCATAAACATCTGAGTGAAAACCAACAGCCAGACTAAAAACACTGAATGGCTTTGCCAGGTGTGATTTTTATTTAAACTATTATTTTGTTCCCTTATGAATCACTCTAAAGGAAAGGAACAAAAATTGTCTTGATTAAATTAGAGGAGGGAGGGTGGGAGCAATGAGTGGTAAGATGCCTTCCATTTCTGAAGATTCTATGACCCATCATCATTCCAAAAACTATAGTTTTTGTTTTGTCTTTTACATCAGAGTAAATGTGGACTGGCAGGACCAGAAGAAGAGCTCAGAAGTGCATCTCACCTTCTCCTCAGGGGCCCTGGACCGTCCTTTCTGTAAGGAGGTGCCCATTCTGTCCACGCACCCCCCACCACCACAGGCAAACACTCTCTTGCTACCATGGGCATGATGCTGAAGCCAGCATGAACTCATTTATGTGTTTTGCCCAGCAGTATTTGCACTTTACAAGAGCTGGGAGAAGAACCCAAAGAAACAGCTTCCAATAGGGCAGCTTCGATGCTCCCACTTTAACCAGGAAGGAAACTGAGGCCCAGGGATGTTGGGCAGTGTGCCCAAAGGCTACATAGGAGTCATGGTCCAAGCTGGTCATGAGGTGGCTGGGAAGGAGAAAGGTGTCTGGGAGGATGTGCCTCACTCCGGAATCCCCATTCACCAAGCCTCACCACTTCCTGGAGAGCAGATCCTAATGAAGGGACCGAGACCTCACATCTGGCTCCACCGTCCCCAGGGCCACATCCTGGGTATAGAGGAGTGCTTCTTCATTCCCAGTTACATTTTGGCCTCATGTCTTCTTTCACATAAGTTGTGTTCAAAGCAACGTTCATTTCCCACAATGTGGCAAACTCATTCCCTGCCCACTATCACTTGGAGAGGTCCCTTATCCCTCGGCACTTAGCTTAGCAGACGCCTCCTCCAGAAAGCTTCCCTGTGTCTTCCCTGCCCCAGAATTCCCCCAAGTCCACAGTGCACACGCTCCGTGTTTGTTGCCTGGCACAGTCACAGGCTGAGATCCTTGAGGTCAGCGAGCCTGACACTGGGCAGGGTCTGGCCCACGGTAGAGCCAATAAAAGTGAGTAAACCAGGGAATATTTCCTTTTCACAGGGGAAAATGACTAGAAATTACTAGTACCCTTGCCTGATACATAATGGGCATTCCATATTTATAGAATAGTTCTTAAGAGTGAATAAATAACCCCTGACCTAAGTTATGCTGTGGAGACTCAAGGCAGTATTACCATCATATCTGGGTAAAATGTCAATGGCCACGAAGAAATTTTTTTATAGTACATGCAATGCTTTAATTTTTTTTATTTTTGAGAATGTTTTTAATTTTAAGTTTTCCTCCCATAAATTTTCTAAAACCATTGGCATGTTTTTCCTTCTCCAGAATCTAGTAATTGGCATAAAATGTAGCCTCAAATTATGTATTATAAGTATTTTAAACTTGAAATGCCATATGATACGATTCCAGGGGCCTGCCAATTATTTAAGATAAATAAGATCCATCTGGTCTCAAAATTTCTGGTCAATTCAACAAATTAAAAATCACTTGGTTTAGACATTTGGCATCATCGTGCTTGTTCATTTTTCATTCATCCATCCATTCATATGGGGAATGGAAGCCTCCTGCCACAGGAGGGGTAGTAAGGTGGTCAAGGACAGAAGACACTGATACGCAAGAAGGTCAGAAGTGTGCTGACTGGTGGTTGGGGAGTACATGGATCCGCCAACCCCGACCCTCAAAGGACAGGCTAGCCTTTTGACCAAAATGGTGTTGTAACTGTCAAGGAAAACTAGGGAAAAAGAAGTACACAAATAATGTTGTAATTAGGAGTGGGGCCCAGCAGGGATGGGATAGGCTAGATCTTAAGCAGGAAGTAGGAAAGGAAAGGGGATAACTTAAGTATGGAAAATTCTCCTTGGATAATAAATCGCCATTTCATGTAGGCAGTAAAAATCAACGTGTAGCAGTTTTGAAGAAGAAAGGGACCCGCCACAGGATGGAATGGGACAGCGGCTGGTCCCTAGGCCCCGCTGGAGGGAAGGCAGCATGTGGCCTGGGCGGTGACTCAGGCAGGAGGGATGTGGCGCAGGTCGCCTGCAGCTGCGATCGGCAGGACAGGATGGGACCCTGCAGAGGACATCCTGGGGCAGCCTGGGGACTTTCCATGCAGGAACATATGTGGAAAGCCATAGCCCGAGAGAATTCTGGCCTGCGTGCCAGGCAGAGGCCTTGAGCGTGAGCAAGGAGAGATGAGGGGAAATGCTAACCCTGCACCACCACAGCACAGCGGAGATTGGGAAGGAAGCAGGGCTGACGGCCAGTGCGCTCTACAGACAGCTTCGTTACAGGCCTGGCGGGCTCCTGCCTTCCAGAGCCCTGCCTTCCATGAGCTGTGTGGAACCCTTTTCAGGGTAGCCTGGGTGCCCCACGCTCTGTGGCTTCCAGCCCATGGACTCAAACCTCAGACATGTTTCTCCTACCAGACTGGTTTGTGCCATATCTGTGTCATGCTTGTGCCTTGATTGACCTAGAATGTTCCTTTAAATGGGCTTGCATTTTAAACATAGCCTCTGCCTGCTAAGTAAATATCCACATTCATAAATTACTCCCACCTGAACCACCCCTCACCCCCACCCCTGCCCCATCCCACAACACCCCCACCCCCAGTCACTGGGCTTCCTTGCAGTCAAAACCCTTCCTGGGCATCCAGGTGGGACTAGGGCACAGGACACCTTCTCCCACGTTGGAAGCAATCTTGTCACTCGGCAGAGTAAATCAGTAGGGCCTCTTGGGAGGCACAGGTACCTGCCTCATCAGGTTTCTCCACTTTTAAAATCTGTCGTGGAGTTTGGAGCTCAGGCCCTTCTCCCTACAACCTCTCCTACACACACCTGGGGGCTGGGGTTCTGGCCTAGCCTTCAGGGAGCTCCCTGCTTCCTCGGTGAGGTAAAACATCACCCTATTAACGGCCACGGTGGTAAGTCATGTTGACAGCAGCACCCACTCTTGATGAGACATAATGAGAATAGCACTTCACCTCTGTGGTCTTCCCTCCAAAATCCAATAAGCTCAGTCCAGTTATGAGAAAAACCTCAGACAAATCCCAATTGAGTGATATTCTACAAAAGAACTCACCAGCACTCCTCAAAACTGTCCGGGTCATCAAAAACAAGGAAAGCCTATGGAACCATCACAGCCAAGAGGAGCCTAAGGAAACATGATGACTACATGTAATATGGCATCCTAAATGGGATCCCAGAACAGAAAAGGGACATTAAACAGAAACTAAGGAAATGTGAAGAAGGTATGAGCTTTAGTTAATAATAATGTATCAGTATTGGTTCATTAATTCTAGGAAATATGCTGTACTAATATAAGAAGTTAATAATCAAGGAAACTGCATTCTTGTGGGGTTATGTGGCAATTCTTTATCTTTGCAACTTTCCTGTAAATCTAAAACTGTTCTAGAATTAAAAGTTTATTTAAAAAATAAAAGCTTTTTAAATATGTCATCCTAGGGGCACCTGGGTGGCTCAGTCAGTTGTGTCCAACTTGATTTTGGCTCAGGTCATGATCTCTGGGTTGTGAGAGGGAGCCCTATGTGGGGCTCCATGCTCAGCAGGGAGTCTGTGTCTTTCCCTCTGCCCCTCCCCTGCTCTCTCACTCTCTCTCTCTTACATAAATAAATCTTTCTTAAAATTTTATTTTATTTGAGAGAGAGTGTGAGAGAAAGAGAGAGAGAGAACACGAGCGGGGTGAGGGGCAGAGGGAGAAGCAGACTCCCTAAACAAGGAGCCCGATGTGGGGCTCGATCCCAGGACCCTGGGATCATGACCTGAGCCGAAGGCAGACTATTAACCGACTGAGCCACCCAGGCCCCTGATAAATAAATCTTTAAGAAAAAAAAGTCATCCTAAAACCCCCAATGGGACAGCAACTGCTGGATCACATGTCATCGAAGAAAATTTTATCATGGATCCTAAATGCTGCCTTTCAAACCACAGGCATAATAGAGTATCAGCTACTTACTAAGTGAAACTTATCCACTTTAGCCTCCTTTACTGTTTTTTTAAATATCTATTATACACTCCACAGTCCATTCACTTTAAAAATTCTGGTTTGGGGGCGCCTGGGTGGCACAGTCGGTTAAGCGTCCCACTCTTGGCTCAGGTCGTGATCTCAGGGTTGTGAGATCATGCCCTGAGATGGGCTCTGCACTCAGCTCCGAGTCTGCTTAAAAGACTCTCTCTCCCTCTGCCCCTCCCTCCCATGCTCTCTCTCTCTTTCTCAAATAAAGAACTAAATCTAAAAAAAAAAAAAAATTCTGGTTCGATTTGTTTCTAATTCAAAAAGTAATCTGTTACTTGGTGCCACTTGAAAAAAGGAAATTGTTGTCAAGATTGTTTCTCCCTTAAGAAATAGTATTATTTGCAGAACTTCCCTTAAGAGCATTTTTGGAAATGACTCAGAATGCTCACTGGCTCTACCACATTCTACCTTGTAGGAACTGTGATAATGAAGCAGTTATCTCCAGTAACAGCTAGATGTGACAAAACCCAGATAAACAGATTCCTCATCTTATTGTGCATATGCAAAGTCTGGCCCATTGTCTCCTGGAGTAATTTGTGAGGCTGTAAATATATGTTACTCTGGTTGTATCCACCATGAGTTTCCTGTGCTTTTGTTTAACGGGGATGGTAGGATTTGAGAAGGGGAGAGAGATTATCAAGGGCAAGTGGGGAGAAGCTTTTCTTGTTAGTAGGAATATCTCAAACAGTAGTGCCTTGATGTACCTATTTGGCACGTGACACATCATTCTAGCATCATGGAATCAAGTTATGGAAGATTTTCGGTTGAAAGGAAAATAACGGGCTGGCCAATGCCTTTGAAACCCTGAAATATGCCCTGTGCCCCGGCACGCATACCTGCCCCACCGCGGCAAGGCTAACATCTCACCGTTTTGTTTTGCCAGCAGTCGTTCCAGCTCGCTTGCCTCTTGAGCTTCTTCCCACCTCAGTCCTGTCCCCCTACTCTTTACCCCTTACCAGCTTCTTCCTGGCTTTCTGTTCTTCCCTGTCTCGCGCACATCCTTCACCTGTGTAGGAGTCAGGGCAGAAACCAGGGGGCTGTCAGCAGGACTTCTAACGAGTCCTCTGGATGCCCAATCCCTTGTCAAACGCTCCTCACAGTTTGTCTCATTTAGTTAGCAATGGCTTCGGCATTTCAAAATGAAACAATCAGCCAATCAAAAAGCTGCAGAGCAACGGAGTGTCGTCCACATCTTAAAGGCCCACACCCAGAGGGATGGCCTGATGAGATTCTCTCTTTAGGCGGTTTGCTCACTTCTCCTCCGCTGGTGACCAGTGATCCCCCGTTAAAGCAAACTTGGCTGGTCTGCTCCTGTCTGGGGGTCCAGGTGCTGCTTACTTCTATAAAACAACAGCCGAGGTTTCTTAGAGCCTGTGGCGGCCCAGTGTTGGCAGCTGCTCACTCTGCGCATGGTCATGTTGGGATGGGCAAAGCGTCCGACTGTTTTCCCCACTATTCTGTAAATTCTGCTAAATGCTGTTTGCACATGGATTCGTCCCCTTGCTGACAAAGCAGAATTAGTGACTGATTACATTTTCACCATCATTTCACAGCCAGGCCTGACAATGAGGTGGGAAGTGCTGGATTTGGAGGCCAAGGATCTGGGTTTAAGCTCCAGGCCTTCACTTAGGAGGGTAGGTTACAAGAATGCTCAGAAATCTTAATGTGTTGGAGCGCCTGGGTGGCTCAGTCGTTAAGCGTCTGCCTTCGGCTCGGGTCATGATCCCAGGGTCCTGGGATCGAGCCCCGCATCGAGCCCCGCATCGGGCTCCCTGCTCCGCGGGAAGCCTGCTTCTCCCTCTCCCACTCCCCCTGCTTGTGTTCCCTCTCTCATTGTGTCTCTCTCTGTCAAATAAATAAATAAAATCTTAAAAAAAAAAAGAAATCTTAATGTGTTCATCTGAAAATGAAGGTAATAATCCCTGCATGTTGTGCAGCTTATGTGAAATTTCATGTAAAAGAATTTTGTGAGGTGCCGTAGTATTCAGGGTATACAATTTTACAGAAGACGCTTCCTGAGCAAGCTGAGGTGTGATGCAGGCAGTTTCAGAACTGTCAATTTCATTATGATATTCAGAATGTGGTTCTTAAGGCCTTCTGCACCTGGAACTTGACTACCAATTGAATATTAAAAAGGTTGAGAATGGCTAGAATCAAAAAGACAAGAAAGGTAACAAGTGTGGGTGAGTATGTGGAGAAAAAGGAACCTTCATATACTGTCAGTGGCAATGTAAATTGGTGCAGCCACAGCGGAAAACAGTATGGAGGTTCCTCAAAAAATGAAAAATAGAAATATCATATGATCTAGTAATTCCACTACTGGGTATTTACCTAAAGAAAACAAAAACAAAAACACTAATATGAAAAAAATATTCGCACTCTTATGTTTATTGCAACATTATTTATAATAGCCAAGATATGGAAGCAACCCAAGTATCCACCTATAGATGAATGGATAAAGAAGATGTGTATATATACACAATGGACTGTATTACTCAATCATGAATAAGGATGAGATTTTATCCTTTGTGACAATATGGATGAACCTAAAGAGTATGATGTTAAGTGAAATAAGTCAGAGAAAGACAAATACCATATGGTTTCACTTATATGTGGAATCTAAAAAACAAAACAAACAGCAGAAACAGACCCATAAATACAGAGAACAAACTGATGGTTGCCAGAGGGGAGGGGGATGGGGGGATGGGCAAAATGGGTGAAGGGGAGTGGGGGATACAGGCTTCCAGTTATGGAATGCATAAGTCATGGGGTTAAAGGTACAGCATAGGGAATGTAGTTAATGGAATTGTTAATAGTGTTGTATGGTGACAGGTGGTAGCTACACTTGTGAGCACGGCGTGTTGTAGAGAGATGTTGGATCGCTATGTTGTACTCCTGAAACTAATGTTAGACAGGAAAGCTCTTGAACTGGTCAGGGCCAGACATATGCTTTACAAACTGTCAATCTGTCACTCTAAGTGAGAAAAGATGGGTAGGAGTTGACACGGTCTTTTACATGGTTCAAGCCTTTGGAAGAGGAGATTGAGATGCCGGTAAAGGTTGCTGGAAACTGTGGCTGTAGTGGGTCATCCGGGCTCTGCATTTTTTTCGTTCTCTGAATGCTATCTTCTTATCTTGAGGTCGGCTTATCTTTGAATATCATGAAGGTATTTTCCTATGCTCTCTTTTAGAACCATTAGTTTCCCTTTTCTATTTAGATTTGTTGTCCATCTTGAACTAATTACTTTGAGTATGACATTAGGGCTTGTGTAAATGTATAATGACATGTGTCCATCACGGTGGTATTGTACAGGGTATTTTCAGTGCCATAAAAATCCTCTGTGCTCTGTTTATTCATCTCTTCTCTCCCCCGATCCCTGGCAACCACTGGTCTTTTTACTGTCTCCAGAGTTTTGCATTTTCTAGAATGTCATATAGCTGGAATTATACACAGCCTTTTCAGATTGGCTTCTTTCACTTAGTAATATGCATTTAAGTTTCCTCCATTTCTTTCCATGGCTTGATCACTCTTTTTTCCCCCTGCTCATTTCTTTCTAGTAATAAATAATATTGCATTGGCTAGATACAGCACAGTTTATTTATCTATTCACCTACTGAAGGTCATCTTGGTTGCTTCCAAGTTTTGGCAATTGTGAACAAAACCACTATAAACATGCCTGTGAAGGTTTTTGTGTGGACATAAGTTTTCAGCTGCTTTGGGTAAATACCAGAGAGCATGACTGCTGGATCATGTAGCAGGTTTAGTTTTGTATGAAATGTCAAACTGTCTTCCAAAGTAACTGTACCATTTTGCATTCACACCAGCAATGAATGATAGTTCCTTTAGCTCCTCATCCTTTCCCGCATTTGGTATTGTCAGTGTTCTGGATTTTGGCCATTCTAATAGGTGGACAGAGATAGTATTCACTTTTTTGGTGTGCAGTTCTATTTCACATAGAATTTTAAAAATTGAGATATAATTTACAAACAATAAAAACCTTTTAAAGGTGTACATACAGTTCAGTGGTTTCTAGTATACTCACAATGGTGTGCAACCATCACCTCTATCTAATTTTAGAACATTTCCATAATGCCCCACCCAAAACCGCATCCATCAG